AGCTAAAGGGAAAATCCTATAAGACAGAAGTGAGACCGATTATGCTTTATGGGACAGAATATTGAGCGATTAAGACAAAACATCCCGTAAGATGAATGTAACTGAGCAGATGATATTGCGATGGATGAGTGGCAAGACAAGAAGGGATAGAATTCGGAATGGATGCATTCCGGAGAACTTAGGTACGGCTCTAATAGGTGATAAGATGAGATAAAATAGATTTAGGTGGGTTGGCCATGTGCAGCGCAGACTAAGTAAAACATTTGTTAAGAACGAGTTCGTTAAAGTGGAAGGTTTGAAAAAAATAAGAGGGTAGGCCCAAAAGAATATGGTTGGAAGTAATGAGATTAAATATAGGGACTTATGGCTTCATCGAGGGTATGCCTTGATATAGTGGAATTGCGGACTAACATTGTATAGCCAACCCCAAATAATTCGAAAAAAGCCATGATAATGAACTATTTAAGGAAAACAAATTTCTCACAATAGAGGATAGTTATAATTAGAAGTGTACCGATCTTTCTCTAGATGATACGCTTCAACTTAATGACATTACGAAATTATTTTGTTTTATAATAAAAATTCTATTACCTATGATAACTGCGATAATATCCTAGTAAAATGAATTTATCGCGATAGTTTAGAGTATTCAATCATTATCAAGATAAAACCCCTCCTATAATAACTTGTATGCAATCTGAAAGAAATATTGACCATTTGAATTTGAAAAAAAAAAAGACATTTCATTCACCTAAAGTAGCTTTAAAAGTATCAAACTCTGCAATCAAGGAATTGATAATAATAAATTTTGATATTGTATTTTGTATTTACAATAGAAATTACTGTGAACTTTGTCACTTGTAAAGTTTGTAACATACACATATATTCTTTTTATCTTGTACAATTTGGACATTCAATTATTTCCAATAAAGATATATTTTAATAAATAATATCATTAATTAAATATATTAGAGTCCCAATAATTATCTACAAAATCCCAATTCAAAACACAAATATAATAATATCCCGTCACTACTAAGCTCGTCAATAAAATAAGTATGTGTCTCTCTAGATATATCTATCAATCTATTTACTATATATAAAGCGAGATAAGCACCCACCCTATTTTCACATTACATGTTTCTTGTTCTTCCATTCTTATCCCTCACTCCCTCCCACATTTCTCTACTCTCTCTCTATCCTATACGTATGGTATACTCTCTGCCTCCCATGTTCCACCTCCCATATTTCTCTCTCTTATCTCTCTCCCAAACACGCCTCTCTCTCTTACACATGCACTCATTTAAGCTTTATGGAAAGAGATAAATGCTCTATTTGACAACTTATTTATGTTTTCTCTCTCATGCATGCATGTGATTGGGTGCATTGTGAGAATAGTGGCCAACGGATAGGGGTTTGTGCAACACAGCCCGCCCGCCCTCGGAGAGAGGAGGGTTTCTAGAGAGAGAAATTGTTGATTTTGTTGCATAGGCAATTTCTTGATGGTTAATCATGTGATTCAATAAAATATGAAGTTATCGGTTAAGAACTATGCTTAGAGTTTCAATGGTAGCATGTCTTAATATTGTATTTGAAATTTATGGTCATTGTTCTGTAATTTTTTTCAATATTTGGGATGTCATTGCATAGATTTACCTTGAGGTCCACATGAGGTTTTTTTTTTTTCCTTTACACATTATATTATTCTCTCACATTTCAATTAAAACTTTTCCTGAATTATAAATAGCCACATTTATTTCCTTCACGTCCTGTGTTTGCACTTGTTTTTCTTTCTGCATTCTCCCTCTCAACGAATTTACATGCACATCATTCTCTTATAAATATTTTTCTCTAGATTTTTCTATTTAGGTCTTTTTGTTTCCCAAATATTTCTCTACATTCCCCCGCCCCCACCCCTCTCTTCTCTCTGGCTTTAACGCTCTCTAGAATTCTAATGGGTGAGTATTTTTAGTCCATGGTTTCCTCTATCTTCATCTTATTGTTGTCGGTCATGCCCATGTTTTTTTGGATAAGAAACAATCCACATACAAGACAGGTTCGTATCAAGAGGTTAACCTTTTTGCCTTAGCCCTGAACTTCCATTAATCTTGCTTTGTTTATTAGTATTGGAATGAATTTATTATTATTATTATTTTTAAAATATTTTGTAGTGTTGGAATGCTCGACTTTTGTTGCGTAAAGGTAGTTAATTATGTGATTCAATAAAATATGAAGTTATCAGTTAAGAATTATACTTATAGTTTTAGCAGTAGCACGTCTTAATATTTTATTTTCATTTTTTATCATATTTCTATAATTGTTTTTCCAATTTTTGAGATCTCATTACATAGATTTATCTTGAGGTCCACATGAACTTTTTTTTCCTATATTTATTTACACTTATTATACTATATTATTTTCTTCACATTTTAATTAAAATTTTTTCCTATTTAGTGAGTGGTTGAATGTATGATAAAAATTGTAGCTTTCTATCTTATATAAATTCCTTTTGTGTGTTTGAACCATTAATGTTCTTTGTTTTTAATTTTAAAATTTTATTTTTAGATTCTTTAGGTTTCCTACGTGGTTACTTTTATTTTTTGGATAATTGGGTTTTAGATGAAAAAATAGAAGTCATTTTTCTATTTTATTTTCAGTGTCATTTATGGGGCACTAACCTAGACGATCACATTAGATATGTTTTATAGAATTATATTTTTTATAGAATAGTTAGCTTTTACTCTAATATTTAATTTTATATTTTCCTGATAGTTAATTTATATTATAAGAAAAAATTATTTATTGGGATATGTTTATGGTTTTCTTCTTACTTTGTATGTTGCCATTATTAAATTGACAAATCATGATAATTGTTTGACAATATATGTGGGGTCAAATATGACGTTTTTTCTAAAAAATGTTAAAAATAAAGAATTGAGAATTAATTAGCTTAAATTAATAATTATAGATTAATAATATATTATTTCTATTAAAAAGGAAAAAAAAGGCACTTATATTGATAAATATAAAAATGAAAAAAATTATTCCTTCTCTATTTTTCTTTTAATTGATACTTATATGTAAATAATATATTTTTATAATGTAGGTAAAATTAATTTAATTCATATCTTCTATTTTATTAAATGTACTCTCTCTATCTTAAATGCTTCCATATTTTTATACTTTTCTCCCTAATTCTATGCCATTTTACTCTTATCTTAAATACTTTCTACTTTTTAGATTTTGCATTTTTCTCTTAATATGCTCTCTCCCTCTCTCTCT